TCCAACCCTGACAATTCTATGATTCTATTTCAAACAAGATTGTTTTGAGTGTCTGGCAAGACTTTGCTAGAATTCTCAAGAATGTACTTGAGATGGGTAGGAGTTTGGATTCCCTTCTGTAGACACCCTAGCTTCTGAGCCCAACCTTAAGGTTATTTCTGACTATATATATAAATATCACACAGTTAGTAGAACACTTGGAATTGGAATCCTGGTGCAATTGTGGTGATTTGGGCTGCAGGTGGACTTGCTGTAAGATTTAAACGCTCCCTCTCAGGTTTGGTGGTTTGTTTTTTTTCTATACTTCTCTCTTTGCAGTTCAAATTTATATCAGCCAGGAAAACTGTGGTTTGTGTTTAATATTGTGGAGTTCCCTGCCAGTCCCCCTAGACCAGTCTCACGGAAAGGCGTGTGTACAGGGTGGCTTGCTGAGTTAGTTGCACCTTTACTGCAGCCCAGTAGAACCACTCTGGATACAAAAGGAGGAAGCTCTTCAACTGAAAAGGTATGAATATTTGATCTAAACTCCTTAACTATTACATTTATGTTTGAAACAACTGCAGGTTCCTGTGTTTGCTGCAGGTGTTTTGGCAGCATACACCCTCATTTTGCAGTTCTACACTACTTGTGAGTTTACCCTTCTCTGTGACATGTCTAGATCTTCATTGCTAAGTTTGTAAACTTACATTTTACTTTATCTATAGATGCTCTAGTTATGAAACTTCGCATTGCGGAAAGGCCAGAGTTGTTTTCCACCCTGCTGTGGTCCCAATCAAATCTTGGAGGATATTTTCATGGACTAAAAACAGCACTGTGCAGTTAAAAGCTTGTGACTGTTAGTGTTGGAGGAGAGAGGCCCTTCGTTGATTCCAGGAAAGGGTGTCAGATAATAGGGAAGAAACCATAAAACTGGCTTCTTGTCAGGTCTTGCACCGTTTGCAAAGGCCAAATTATTGAATGTGACATGGGACAGTCGTCTGTCATATTTCTGATGTACATCAAAGATGACTTGGAATGTTCATTATTATTAGAAGGTGGTACTTATTTTTTTTTGCCTCTTTTCCTGTTGTTGCAGAAAATCTATGTAATTAATCTCAAATTCATCAAGTGTAAGGTAGTCATTCAAAAATTAGGAATTTTGCTATATAATTAATAAGACAAAAGAACTACTGTCAGTCTAATCTATATTTGATGAGAAAATGGAAACAAGCATAGAATTTGGCTACAGGAAAACTGTGCCAATAATTCAAGGTGTTGATCTGGCAAAATGGAAAGAAAATACATAATTAACTCAAAAGACAATTTGATTTGCATCTTATATCCTATTCCAATGCTCACATCTGCTCTTTATTAAAAATATAATTGAATTGCAGTATATTAAAGACCAAACATGAAAAAGAGGCAGTTAAAAAGAACAAAAATAACTATTACAAAATGAGTTTGCATAAAGTTCAGAACTATTTGGATCTGCTGTACATACTAGAATTCAGCATAGATAAATCTGCAGCAGTACACAGAGACTGCAGAAATACATGGAATACCAACACCAAATAGATGAGTGCAATGTTATGCAAAAATACCTCACGTTAATTGAAGACACTTTACAGTATAAATTTGTTTACCATTTGCAGTATCTTTTAAGGGAATGACCAATTTGGAGTCATTAATAGGGGAAAACAGCCTCCCAAGTCAAATGTGGTTTGAAGTACTAAGTAAAATAGAAATACACATATTGCCCCCAACCAGCAAGAATTGTCCTATTTTTTTTTAATCATCATGAAACCAGAAAAATAATCCTATTTAATGTTGTGGTATCTGTAGTGAATTAAATGATAAGAAATGAGCAGTGCTAAACCACTCAGGTTTACAAGTTTAAATAACTTGGTCTAGTGCTTCACTCCTTTCTTAAACTTGAAAGTAAATTCAAATCCTTTCATAATTAATGTGCAAAATAAATTGGATGTTTGCTTATGACTTTAATGGATGAAACTTTGCTATGGCTGATGCTGAGTCTTGAGTAATCTTTTAAGAATTGTAGATAGTCATCTCTCATTTCCTATACATTGTTAGTTAGCCATGCATCAGAGAACAGTAGTGGAGCTCCTGTGAAAATTGTGTTTATAGACCTCCTTTCAGACACAGATCTGAAGACCAGAGTTAGGGTTTGTCAGTGGAATGATATAAACGGTTTTCCAAGGTCCTTGAGCAGTTATCTGCCTCCCCTTACTCATATGCGGTTTTGGAGATCATGTCAAATTTTGTGAAAATTAAAGAAGCAAGCTCACTATTATTAGGCTTTATTTCACTGTGAATGAATCCTCACCTGTACTAGAATATTTTTGGATGTCCACAATGTAAAAAAAAGAACAAACAAAAAACCTTGAGTTGCCTATAATAGTGATACAACTAGTTTTACTTCCCTTTGACTACCAATACCAAGCTTTCCATGAATTCTGCAACAGTATTCCCCAAATTTATGGTGCAGTCAAGTTTCATACACAGAAACGCGTTTTTGTGGTTTTGCCTACTTTTTCCTCCAGATAGATTTGTAGATTTGAAAATATGATGGTTTGTTGGTTTTCTTTTTTCTCAGAAATTGATGTGAAATTTTATCCTAAGTGTCTGTGTGGCGTTAAAAATAGACTCTGAAGCTCAGAGTATTCTTTCTAATACTTTTCTGTATATTTTCTAATACTTTTCTGTATTCTTTCTAATTCCATTTTAGATAACTATTTTTCATCGTCCAACCAATGCTTTCCACTTACCTGCAGACCCATCTGTCCCATTCATGATGGTTGGTCCAGGAACAGGAATTGCACCATTTATTGGTTTCCTACAACACAGGTATGTACCAAGTTGTTACAGAGAAAACAGCCTTTTTATGTTAAAGAAAATAGAGCCCCAGGTTCTGAGTCCAAATGCAGGTAATCTTATTTTTTTATTTTTCTTTTTACTTTCTGTAACCATGATATGCTGATTAGAAATTATTAGAAGCAGTCATAGAATCACAGAATGGTCTAGGCTGGATGGGACCTTAGAGATCATCTAGTCCAACCTCCCTGTCATGGGCAGGGACGCCTCTCAACTAGATCAGGCTACTCAAGGCTCCGTCCAACTTGGCCTTGAACATCTCCAGGGAGGGGGCAGCCACAACATCTCTGGGCAATTTATTCCAAAGTCTTGCCACCCTCGTACTGAAGAATTTATTCCTAAGATCCAGTCTAAATCTATTCAACTTAAACCATTTCCCCTTGTCATATCGCTGGACACTCTTGTAAAAAGTCCTTCCCCAGCTGACTTTATCCACCGAGTGGTCCATCTGTCAAATCCATGTCTCTCCGTTTTAGAGACAAGGATGTCATGTGGGACAGTGTCAAACGCCTTGCGCAAGTCAAGGAAAATGACGTCCGTTGCTTTTCCCATGTCAACCAGCACTGTAGCTTTGTCGTTGAAGGCCACTAAATTAGTCAGGCACGACTTGCCCCTAGTGAAGCCATGCTGGCTGTCACCAACCACTTGATTGTTTTTTGTGTGCCTTAGTGCAGCTATCAAATGCGGTGAGAATGATCGCAAGTTTTATAGGAAACCAACACAGATCATTCCTGCGTGACTCGTTAGTTGCAGCAAGATAATGAAGTTCTTGCATCCTGTAACAATTTCTTTTTTAAATCATTTTATTTGAGAGGAAAGTGGAATTTTGATATGATGTTTCTTACTCCATGCTTCCGCTTTAACCAAATCATTCCAAACATTTAACTCCCCAGTATACCTTTATCTCTGAGAAGTAATTTGCATTTTATTTTAAAGGATTCATGGCACTTCATAAGCATTTGATCAATAATAAATGAAATATCTCTCTCAAAGTGTACCTAGAAAGTTGCAGCTAAAACCCTTATAAAGTAATACCTTTAGCATTATTTCAAGAAAATACAGTAACTCTTTTGATGATGTGGTAGTAAATAGATTGTTATTCATAACATCTAGCAAGTTTCTTCATCTAAATGGAAAGCATGCTAAAACTGCTTTGTGCTGAGTTCTCCCCAGTGTTTTTACAGGGCTTCTAATGAAGGATAAAGGGTAACGATCTCCTTATTCAGCAGTCAGGGTTGTTTTGTGAGATGTTTGGACCTGTCAGTCTTGACTATTGCAGTATGAAAACGTGGCAAAAAAAACCCCAACCCACGTTTGAAGTTGATTGATTTTGAGCTGGACCAAAAGTGAGTAGTCAAGAAAATCAAATAAGGAGGATTTGACTGTCATTTACCTCAAGTCATTTCACATTTTTGCCAATCCAGAGGTTTATTAAGGCACCACTTTAAATAAGAATGAGGTTATAGATGTATTAGAGTCTGCACTTGATAAACAGGATTGGATTTTTAAATTTTTTTTTCTTTGGTCTGTTTAGGCAAAAGCTGAGAGAAGAAAACGCGGACTGGGAATTTGGAGAGACGTGGCTGTTTTTTGGTTGTCGGCATCAGGATCGAGACTATTTGTTCAAGCAAGTTCACTCTTTAGCATTCATTTTTTATTTATGAAGGCATGCTTATCGGCGAGCCATTGCTAATGGTTTTTATTGCCTTTCAGAGATGAGCTCAGATGTTTTCTTGAAAATGGCACTTTAACTCATCTCAAGGTTTGTTTCTCAAGGGACCCTTCAACTGCAGCAGTAGCTCCGCCTAAATATGTGCAAGATGTCATTAGGCTTTGTGCTAAGGAAGTTGCCAGAGTCCTGCT